AAAAGGTTTGTGTATTTATAACATTTGAATAAAGATACTTTAGAATCCATTTTTCTACTAAACATGTGGTGACACAGCTACAGAAGTCTGAACCAAACTATGTCAATCGAAAGTGTTAAAATATCGCTGCAGGAAAATTGCACAATCAATGATATGCACATTCACAGTCTCTTTTTTTTCAAATAAAAAAACAAACATCCTGGACTGGCGTGCATGCCAACCAAAAACAGATCTGAATTTCCAAATGATATAAAAAGATGACTGACTCTTTCACACAGTATATTTAATCAAAGAAAACCATATAAAATATTGAAAGCAAATTTTCTGACTATTTACTAGTGGCTGGCAACATCAAGATGTTGCTTGTCACAGTTTTGAGATGAGCTGTTGATACACTGTTGGTCAGAATGCTATTCAAATGATGCACATCTGTGGAAAGAAGAATACTATGCATTTCCCAAATATTTTGTGCAAGCCAAGAAGTGTTTAATAACAATCTGTATAGTATAGTGATCTCTGTGGATCTGTGATCAAAATTAAAGCCAAAATTGGTAAATCTCTTCCATGTTGCGTTCACCATGAAGTCGCTGAGCTGTCATTAACATATTCAAATGAGCTATAGTAATTCGAACATGTTGGCACCATCCAGCATTTTGATTGGTTAATTAGCTACTTGACCTCTTGTGTGCATTCAAAAAAAATGGTGGATATCGTATCACATCGAGCATTTACATATGACTGAAATCACTCGCTTACGGTGAAACTAAGTTGAATTTTACAGTGATCATTTGCTACTAAGCAATGCATTCGTGTTTCTTTTTATTTGAAACTTCTTTTAGAATATACTTTGTTACAAACAAAATTAAAAAAATAAATGCATATCACATTAAATATACCAAGTATTTTTTTTTACTATGTGAAGAGTTTTTTTGATTGCTTATAATTTTTAAAAATTTCGTGACGCCTATTTTAGAACCAAATTAAGGCCTTTTGATCTTTCCTGATTAAAATCAGAGTGGAGCCTATTCAAGAGATTGTAAGGTGTATTGTTTTTTGTGTGCATGTGTTGTGGGAAAAAATGACCACGCCCATTTAGGGATTGTAATATATACGTAATATAAACTGCACCCCGAACTTGAGCTTTTGACCTCAATTTTTAAATTGATACATTGTAATATAAACTGTGGTTTATATTAGAACCTTTACGGTAGTACGTTGATGGGAAATTCTGAAAATATGGTACACATAATAAACATTTGTACTCACTCTAGCCTCCCAGGCCATTCCAACCAATGCAATGCCCAATATTAATATAACTGTGATCACTCCAATGATTCGTACATCGTTGACATCATCAACAATTTGGGCATCATACTCCTAAGATGAAAATGAAAAAAAAGAAGAATGCAAATAATACAATATCATGCAATACTAGCATTCTGACATTCTGTAAATTACATTTTATCACTTTTATTAGGTATCACTTTTATTTTACCAACAACCAAAATTTTAAATATAAGATACCTAATTTTGGATATTGGCAAGCTTCTGACCCAGATATCTTGTGATATCTGTTGCATTTGATATATCACTGTTGTTCTATTAGAAGGTAATCTCTAATAGAAGTGCAAGTAAACCAAATGCTGAATTATTTTAACATCATGGTCACACCTCTGTCATTTACATTAGTTCATATGCTAATAGAGCTACCATACTAGTCCATCTCAGCACCCATGCTTGTCTAAACATCCCCACTACCGCACTTTCTATTTTCGGGTTCACATTCGGCTAATCCGCCACCCTTCCAAAATGGTCCAAATTTGATTGTATAGTCTTTGAGCATTGCTTGACTTTTCTGAATACATGTACCAGTAATTAAATTTATACAATAACAGCATGGATATTGACAGCCATTAATATAATGTGAATGCATAGACCACAGTATCGTACAGAAACTACGCCTCGACAATGACCTGACGGATCATACTGCAACATTGATAATTCACTTCTATATTGCATTACAAGAATGTCTTCGCAGAGTATTGCATTGGTACAGCACTGCATTCTGATTGGTTAATAACAAACTTGAGCTATCAGGTCAAAAAGCCGCAGTTGCAGGTCATATTATGCGAAAAAACATCATGGCGGAAACTGCATTGTCTTGAGAGTTTCCACATAATTAAAAACATTTAACGAAAATAATGAATAATCTCTTGACTTTGACGATTATCCCACTGACTTGTACACCATAAATTCTGATGGTATGTAAATAATATTGTAACAAGTCATTGTCAATGACACGTCCTCGTTCCGTTCATATTTGAGTGACATATACATTCAAAGCAGATCATGACCGAAATGCACCTGCATATGTACAACACATTGTGCTAAATCTGAACAAAATCCATCCATGCATGACTGAGATCCGGTTCTGGAATTGTGAAAATACGTGATTTTGATGCATTTTCGGCCTTAAAATGGCCATCATTCCGCTATTGTTAAGCAGATCATGAAACAAATGCACATATCTATTTGTGACATGATGTACCATGTGTGTGTGAAGTTTGAACTTGATCAATCCAGACATGTCTTGGATACGGATCCAGAACTGAATTCTTTAACAAAATGGCCGCCAGTCGGCCATTTCGAACTTGATCCGAAAAAAAAAAGACGTGCATCAAGGTCCTATTATGTTTAATGTATGTACCAAATTTGAACAAAATCCATCAA